AATAATAATAAACAATAGTTATAACAATAACAATAGTATTAAAAGTAGTAATAATAAAAATACAGTAATGATAATAGTAATAACAATAATAATAGATGATTATGATGATAGTGATAATGATGATGATGATGATAATGTTATCAGTGATAATGATAACAATACAATAATAACAATAATAATACCTATAATAATACTGTTAATTGTAGTAATAGTACCAATAATACTTATTAAAATTATAATAGTAATAGTAATAATGATAATAATAATAAAAATAATAATAGTAATAATAATAATAATAATAATAATAATAATAATAATAATAATAATCATGATAATAATAATAATAATGGTAATGATAATAATAATAATAATATGAATATGAATAACAATAACAATAATAATAATGATGATAATAATAATAGTAACAATAATAACATTAGAGTAATAACATCATCCTAATATTAATAATTATAATAATAATAACAATAATAATGAAAACAATAATGATGATAATAATAAGGGTAATTATTATAACAATAATAATGATAGTGATATTAATTATAATAATAAAAAATAGCAATATTGATAACGATGATTGCTATAATGATAAAATGATAAGAACAAGAATAAATAATAATAAACACTGATAATAATAACAATACTAATTATCATAATAATAATCATAATTACTTTTCTCATTTATCTTTATCTTTATTATTATTATTATTATCATTATTATTATCATTATTATTACTATTATCTTTATTATTATTATTATTATTATTATTATCATTATATGAATAGTAGCAATAGTGATTATAATAGCAAAAATAGCAAAAATAACAGTAATGATAATGATGAAGATAATAATAATAGTGATAATGATAATATTAATATTAATAATAATGTTAATAATAATAATAATAATAATAATAATAATAATAGTAGCATCATAATTTTGATAATTATAATAATAATAATGATAATAATAATAATGATGATAATAATATCAATAATATTAATCTCACTAATAATAGTAATAATAACGATGATAATAATATTAATAATCATACTCTTTTTAATGACAATAACAATGATAATAACAATAACGACAGTCATCATAACGACAATGATAATGACCATAATCATCATAACGATAATAATAATAACAATAATAATTATAATAATGGTAATAATAATAACAATGATGATGATAATAATAATAACAATGATAAAGATAATAATAATAAAAATGATGATGATAATAATAATAATAATGATAATGATAATAATGATAATAATAATAATGATAACAATAATAATAATAATAATAATAATAATAATAATAATAATAATAATAATGATAAAAACAATAACAAGAAATAATAGTAATAATAATAATAATAGTAATGGTAAAAATAATAATAATAGTAATGGTAATAATAATGATAATGGTAATAATCATAATAATGACAATAAATATAACAATAATAATAATAATAGCAGCAACAACAAAATTAGCAACAATAATAACAATAATAATAATGATAATATTAATGATAATATCATGAAAATTATGAGAATAAGGATAATTATGACAATAATGATTATATGATGATGATGATGATGATAATAATAATAATAAATGATAATAATGACAATAATAATAATAACAATATTGATAATGATAATGATAATAATATTAATAATTAATTAACAATAACCTTAATAATGATAACAATAATGAAAATAATAATAACAACAATGACAGTGATAATGATAATACTAACCACAACAATAATAATGATAATAATAATAATAATAATAATAACAATAAAAACAACGAGAGCAATAACAACAACAATAATGAAGATGATAATAGTAATAATAATAATAATAATAATAATAATAATAATAATAATAATAATAATAATAATAATAATGGTAATAATAATAATGATAACAATAATAATAACAATAATAATAACAATAATAATAATAATGATAACAATAACGATACTAAGAATAAGAATGATAATAATCATGATACTAACAATAACAATAATAATAATTATAACAAAATTAATAGCAGTAGTACCATGATCATCATCATTATCATTATTTTTAATATCATTATCATTATCATCAATACTTCTTATTATCATGACCATTACTGCCGTTTTTTATCATTATCTATCTAATTAGCAGGAGTTGCATCATTATCATTAAAATCATTTGAATTATCCGTCTTTTTCATCATTCATGTTATGGGCATGATTATCATAGTTCATTACTATCATCACTGTTACTGTCATCTTTTAATCGGTTTTCTTTTTACCTACATTTTTATTACTATTGTTCATGTCATTTTCGTCTTCGTCGGCCATTGATATTTCATTATCATTATGTAGAGTATCATTATTATCATTATCGTCATTATTATCATTTCTACTGCTATTGTTGTTATCGTTGGTATTAAAATAATAATTATGAACACCAT